AAAAAAAAAAAAAAAAAAAGAAAATGAGCCTTGAAGGAAAGAAGGAGGACCCTTGAGGTCATAAGCATGTTTTTAAAAATCAAAAATCCAGACATCCTGTAAAGTATCCATAGGTCCCTCTAGTAGTCAGTTTCAATTCCATTCAGCAAGCGTTTACTAGGAAACTAACTTTTGGTGGACACTGCTCTTGACTCAAGCTCTATGCACTGTGTTGTGGAAATAACTAATGCACAGATTGTGCCTTCAAAGGCCCACAGTCGTCTGTGGAGAGAAAGATTTATAAAGATAGCTAAACAACAGCATGATTAGCACAGGGGCGATAGTAGTTTTCAATCACTGGTAACTGGATCAGTTAGTTTGCTCACAATGCCAGACAATTTCCCATAGTGATTGGCTTAGAGACGATTGGTGCCTTTAATGATTTCCACACAAAGGGGTCCAAGGCCGCAGGCATCTTATAAAAATTTGGGCTCAGGAAATTCTTTGGGGTGTTGACTCCCACCCCGTGCTCCATATTTTCTACTTACCTGGCCTCCAAAGTCTCCATCCTTTAGCCTTCCCACCTAGATTCTCCTCCTTGCCCTGAACCTTTCTCAGTGGTGCCACATTTGGATATTTTGAGGACTCTTAAAAAGGAAGACACTCAAATGGATTTGGAGTGACCTATACAAGGCACCTAACTTAAGAAGAACAAGCCTGCGGTCAGCGGATATTTCAGACAAAGGATACTCCTTTTCCCTTTGTTTCACCAGATGGTGGTTTTATCACTCTCTACCAGTCTGCATTCTCAGTGACATCCTCTATTTTCTTTTATCTCAGGCCCTCTTTTCAATGATTGTGGTATAATTAGATAGAGCTAGAATCCTTTTGTTTTATCATATTTGCTATGTAGGCCTTATCTATTGACACTGGGAAGGACACAGTGGTCTGAACTGTGTTCCTAGTGCCAAAAAATTGGATACCCTGTCCCTCCCAGAGTGGTGTTCTCCAATGTTTCATCATTACTATGTTTCCAAAAGTCACAAGATCAAGGAATGTCCTCCAAGGACAAATAACTTATAAAAGGAGATGACGTTCCCGTGCTCAGGCTCCTATTTCTCTTCCTGACAAAGACCACAATACTAAGGATTGAGAGCAAGATATAGAGACTGGGGATGCTGCTAATCATTTACAATGCACAGGATAGCCTCCCACAACAAAGAATTACCGGCCCAAAATGTCAATAGTGCCAAGATTGAGAAACTCTGAGTTAAAGTACAATTTAAATGTTGTAACAAAAAGACCCCAAAATATAGTGATTCAAACAAGATGGAAATGTATTTGTCTTTGTCTGGGGTGGGTTCCTTCCATATTGTTGCTCTACATTCCTCTATGATGTTGTCCTTGTCAAATAGTTAAAGCTGGCTTTCCAACCTTACCTTAACATTCTGACCCACACTCATTAGTTTGCTAGGGCCGCCATAACAAAATACCACAGACTGGACGGCTTAAACAACAGAAATTTATTTTCTCACAGTTCTGGAGGATGAAAGTCTGAGATCAAGGTGCCAGCAGGGTTGGTTTCCCCTAAGTCCCCTCTCCTTGGATGGTAGATAGCTGTCTTCTAGTGTGTCTTCACATGACCTGTGTGTGCGTATCCCTGGTGTCTCTTTCTCTTCTTATAATGACACTAGTCATACTGGATTACTGTCCCACCCTTTTGACTTCGTTTAACCTTAATTACCTCTTTAAAGACCCCATCTCCAAATACAATCGCATTGGGAGTTAAGGCTTCAATATACAAACTTTGAAGGGACACAATTCAGTCTATAACACCACAGGAAAGGAGAAGAAGAGAAATAAAAGGGCAAACAATTTCATTTTTTAGAGATTTTGCCTAGAAGTTGCATAAGTCATTCTTTCTTACATATCGTTGGTCCAAACTCAGTCACACGCCCACCTAACTGCAAAGAAGCCTAGGAAATGTATTCTCTAACTTGGCAGCCATGTGTCCAGCTAAAACTCAGGGGGTTATGTTACTAAAAGGAAAAAGGAAAACTATTAAAGAGAGAGATAGAACTTTAGAAACTGGAAAATGATGGTTCATTCTCATTTTTGATTTTGCATTTTCCCAATTTAATGCCTCCTAGATTCATCCCATCTACCAGGGCCCATGGGATAAAGCTATCTATTCCCACATAGGACCCAAGCACTGCAGATACCATACCCATCCCTAGATCCTCTTTCATTTAGAGGAGAGTTACAAAACTGCAGCCACAAGAAAATACCTAGTATTTCCCCAGTGGCAGTTTTGAGTCCAGGCAAATTTACTCCCACCCTGAGACATCGTGTTGTCTCCTATTTTGTCTTTAGAATTTAAAAGAGTAGTGAGAAAGATTCTGTGGCGGGGAACCAGAAAAGAAAATGACTATGCTGATGTCCTGTAAATTAACTTCCTTTTCTTTCAGCGAACACTTGATCCCTGTCCTTAATGACTGAGGTCGAGATGTGGTTCTTAAAGGTATAAAATTTGGAAAAATATCTCTGGATAAAAGATCACCTGTTAATATATTAATAACGATCATATCTAATACATATGTTAAGAATGACCATAATATGATAGTAGTATACTTTAGCTTATATTAACTCAGTTAGTATATTGACATTGAAGAATTATAATTCTAATGCTAAATTTTCAGGCCGTTTATGCTGCTAATGGCTAAAATAGGGCCAACGTCCAAGTCATTTGTGGAATTTCTATAACAGAGTGTATTTATGTGAAACACCATTAAGCCTTAAAGGGAGTGATGGAGCAATTACTGAGTTGAAAGAAGGTGACCTTTCACAGCTGTCCAATGAGCACCAATCAAAGACAGCCAACTTACCGTTCTTCTTGTAGAACATAATTTCTCCTTTGAATTCTGTTTTTTCCTCTAGTGACTTTTCTATTTGAAGTATCAGTTGCTCGTTGGTTTCAACCCCAAATAAGAATTTGCAGCTGCAACTCTTCTGCATGACTTCAGTTCGGGCAAATCCAGCAAGCTCACAGAAGCCATCGGAACAGTAGACTATGGGGAAACCCTTAGCCACCTGGGCATTCGCAAGGATGAAGTTGCTATCTGTAGAACAATAAGAAGACACTCAGCAACTAAACAAGCATGAGAAACTCTTTTTAAGTCACAATTTCAGTAAAAAATTATGAGCACATGTGTTTAGCTAACACCACCTAAAATGCATGTCCTGATGTGCTGGGGTGGAAAAGAGACAATCCAAAACAGAAAATGGCATTGACCAGCAGAAGTACGTATTGAGTTCTGACTTTGGCTTGCATTTTGAAACACACTGTAGAGGGAACACAGTATTCACTGGCCTACTTTGAGGCATGTACCATCTAGTTGGCAGTAGGGTACTGTGCTTTTTGGCGTGATTCTGGTTCATATTGTGAATCTGCCACATGATGTGTAGGTGAACTTGAAAGAGTTACACACTCTAAACCTCAGTTTCCTTAGGCTTGATTTCCCTAAAAAGCAGACTCTAAGACAATGATTTGAATGTAAGTAGTTTATTTGGGAGGTGATTCCAGGAAGTTGGCAAGTAGGGAATTGAGAAAGGGAAGGGAGAGAAGGTAATAAAGAGTGAGATAAAAAGGGATTTATACCTATGGGCACCTGAGGCTCAATCACACAGGGATGCTAGAAGTGACTGGGTAGATCACAGCTCAAAGTTTTCCCAGTGAGGGGAGAGAAAGCTGGGGCATTTATCCACAAATGTCCATATCTCATGGGTTAGGGTGACTTCTGGGGTGTCAATATGTTGGCACTTCTGGCCTGCCCATGTTGGCTATATATATATTTCCATATATATATGGAAATGGTCTGCTTGTGATCTTAAGGGTGAGTCAAGAGGCCATTGGGAGGGCACTGATAGGTGTGCTACAAGGATGATAATATCGCTTACTTTAAGATTAAGTATATAACCTGCTTAGCCAAGTGTCTGGCACAGATAAGTACTCAATAAAAAATTATTATTCAGCATTATTCACATCTTTAAGGTTGTTTTATGAACAAATAAGAATCAGAGGACAATCAAAAATAGTAGACTATTGTTAAGTGCTTAGAGATAACTCCTGGAGGTGAGCCTGAGAGGCAATATTCAGGAAAGATTCCTGCACGACAGATTTTTTGAGATTAACTTTGAGGGATGGATACGATGTTTATAGGCAAAAAGATGATTATTGGAGATGGAGTGTAAGATAAGGCATTTATAAAACCTGTTAGTGGGTGACCTTTAGGTTCAAAATGAATTCAAGATTAATATTAAATCATTCATTCATTCACTCAGGAAACAAATGTTGAACACTGTTAGTATACGAGGCAATATTAAAGGCTGGAATTTTAACGACAATCAAAATAAAAATGGAAAGAACTACAGCACAAGCTGTTAAAAAATCAAGATTCAATATTGTATGTTATTAGATGAACTATTTCTCTGAAAATATATAAACACACATAAACATGTATACATATACCCAATATGAAATATTTATGTATACTTAAACACAAGTGGAATAACTGTAGACGTCTTTAGAGAGAGCAACTTTGGGCAAAGGCTTGTTTTTACTGTATACCTACTGTACCCTTTGAATTTTGTACCATTTGCTTTACGTACTGCCTATTCAAAAAAACAGTACGTTTAAAAGAGGTTTGCAGCACACAGCCTATCTTGTATGCCAGGATAAAGGAGGAATTCCAGCTACTTCCTGGTGGCCAGTAGGACAAGCACTGAAGATCTATTCCATGGGCTTCCCCATCTCCTTTTAAACATCTTTTGCCTGTTTCCAAAGTCCACCATCAGCTGGCAGAACCAAATCCACTCCACTCGGCTTTGCTCCAAACAGCCCCTAAGCTCAGAGTATCAAGTCTAGTGTTAACATCTGCATCCTGCCTGGGCCAGGCTGGCTCTTCTACCCTCCCAGCCAACCTCTCCCAGTGGAGAGAAGTCAGAGCTAAAGGCCCACACTGGGAAGCCTTCCATAATATGTTGTTTTGAAGCCATGGGAGTGAATTAAATTATCCCAGACTAATATTTAATTCTCTCCCCCTTTGCAAAAGCATTTATTGACTATGTACTATATGTTGGACTTTGTTCCAGTTGCAGAGGCAAAAAAGCTTATTAGACGCAGTCCCTGCCCTTAAAGATCAGTCGAGAACCTGTGAGAGTTCCCAGGTTAGTCCAGACAGGGGTGCCCTCCTATTGAGGCTCTGGTCTTAGCCTCATCAACTCCACACAGCTTTGGGTCACTCTCCAACCATAGTGTCTCTTCCTCTCTCCCTTCTAAAACTGTGGAGGAGAAAGATTGCTTAGAAAATGTAAACGCATAGTATCGGCAAAGTACTCAAACATCCTAAAAGAGCTTTTAATGTGCTTTCAGAAGCCATTTTTCAGTCGACTGCTGACATGTTTACTGACTTTCTACTATATGCCAGGTGACATGGTTCTACCATATGGCAGGTCCCCGAGTGAGGTGACGGGGGGTGTTAAAAGATGAATAAGGTATAGTCTCTAGCTCTAGGATATTACAATTTAATTAAAGAAATGCATGAATGTCAATAACAGTAAAACACGGCATATAAGTACCAGAATCAGTGGTACACAGATAGTAAGTATTACCAGAGTTGAGAAATGAAAGATCCTAGGCTTTGAAAATGGTTAGCTAGAAATAAGACAAAAATAGGCAGAGATGATTTATCAAAGTTACTGGAAGGTTAGAGCAGATGCTTGGATGGAGGAGGCTCAGAGGAAGAACGGAGAAAGAGGAATTGAAGACAGAGAATAAACAACATTACATTTTGTCCTAAAGTCCAGTTTTCCCGTTATTTGAAAAGCTACAAGTTTTCTTTTGTTAGTATTTATCTGGTATACCTTTTCTCATCTTTCTACTTCAACTCTTCTAGGGACTTATGTTTTATAGTTGTCTTGCATGTATTTAAATTTTTTAAAAGGATAATATGAAAATACATCCATCACCTGAGATCAATATATTTACTTTTATTAATATTACTATAGTACACTGTTTTTTTACCAACTTAATCTGTCCTTTTCTTCACTGCTTTGTTATTTTGCCTTTTCATTTTTAAAACGTAGGAAATATACCGCACCACAAAAAAGATTTTATAATAATATTTACAAACAATAAACACCCATAAATCATTCATTCAGTAAAAACTCCAGTGTGCACCATACAGACAGTATTTCCCTCCTTCCCCAAAGAAGAAACCCATAACTTGTATTTTTGTAATAATTATTCCCATGTATGTACTTTTGGCACTTATATATGTATCTTTATGCAACACATTGCCTAATTTTTTCCTGCTTTTTGTGGCATATATTATGATATTTCATTCTGCATATTTCTTAGTGATTTGCTTCTTTTATTAATTTTCTTAGCATCTTTATAATTGTTTATGGACACAAGAAAAGACCAGTCCTTCAGAGCTACAATAAGCTTCTGAAAAAAGCTGCTAAATGATTCACCAAATTGCCTGATCTGTGTGTTTCAATTAAGGATTATAGTGTGTTTGAGGTAGTTAATTCTGTCTGCAAATATACTGCAAAAACAAAGCAAAAAAAAAAAAAAGCCATGTATTTGGCCTTTTCTGTTTATATTTAGCGCTTGTCCTCGATATGTAATTGCATTTCAATTCCAAAGAGAATTTAGTGGCAGTCGGCTGCCTCATAAAGCCAAGTGTACTAGCTACATGAATAGCCCTTCTGTTTGGGAAAAGAGTAGCTTCTCTCACCCAGCTATCTACTTGGAAACATATGCTTTTCTGAATACCAGTCCTGGAATCTCCAAAGCAGGAACATGACCTTTACTTTAGAATTATGCCATAATGATTATGAACCCATCATGGCTATACCACTATCCATACATATGCTAAGGGTATTTAACCTTTTAAGGAATCAATTATGCATATGTGATGCACATCTAAATGCCACACAGCTTTTCCCAGCTTGTTTCAGGGTCATCCTCTTGTGTAAATCCAGTTTTGAAGTGCCAGTAAACAGTAGAATCTAAACGTGTTTACATTTTAGGAGGTTGATTATTTCTTTAAACGCTTCCTTAGCAAAATCTTTCATGGATCGTCAGAGGGAATCTCAGGGTTGGTAGAGACCAGGGTCATTTAGTCTGACTTCCTAATGTAGAGCACCACTTTCCCATTCAAATGGACATGTACTATTCATTGTTGATTTCCCAGGCACAAAGGGTATGGTGGTAGGGATGGAAAGGTATAGAAGGAAAAAATAAAGAGGACAGGGCAATCATGGATCCACCACTAATTCCTTTCATCCTTGTGCTTGTCCCACTTTTCAGATGAGAACACTGAGACCTGGAGAACTTTAGTTGGAAGCTAGGGATTAAAACCAGGGCTATGTGACAAACTATGTTTACTACATCATGCATTCTTTCTGTAAAGAAGTGACTTGTTCTTTACTTCCAGGTGAAATGGGTTAATTCTATAAAAAGGTTTTTACCTCTTCCAGTCTACAAAGAGCCAAAACACACAGATTTTTCTCTGTAGAAATCATTTATTAGAAGTTCATTGATGATATCTCTTAAACCAGTCTGGGTCTCTCAGCAACCTCTATGTCACTTCCTCATTTCCTCTAGAAAGTCAACATTTAAAAAATATGACAGCGACTTTCTTGATTACAAAATATTTGGCACAGGTCCACTCCAGAGGCTCGCAGGAGGCAAAGAAACGTAGTTGCTATTCAAACGATCTGGTTTCCCGTCTCCTCATGCCCTTTTAATGTATATCACAGTACTTCTAAAATTCTCCCATTGAAATATCCTTCTACTGGCCGAAACCAATAAATGTGTATTTCAAGGAGCCTGGAGGCATAGATCTAAGTTCAATATTGTTTTGAAATCTCATTTTTGACTTAGAAATCCATTAGAATTTTGCATTCTACTGTGTTGTATATTCATGTTTGTTTGATTGTTTTTTATTTTGTCTTAATATGAGCCTGACAAATTTTTAATTTGATTGAAACTTTGGGAGGATATGCTGTTTGTTTTCTATGACTCTGTGCATACCACTTAATATGCATAACC